AATCACAAAGACAGAAAACCAAACACTGTATGTTCTCACTCATAAGTGGGAATTGAACAATGAGAACATTTGGACACCTGGTGGGGAACATCACACGCCAGGGTCTGTCAGGGAGTGGGGTCCTGGGGGAAGGATAGCATTAGGAGAAATACCTAATGTAAGTGATGAATCGATGGGTGCAGCAAACCAACCTGGCACATGTATACCTATGTATCAAACCTGCACATTGTGCACATGTACCCTAGAACTTAGAGTATAATAAAAATAAATCCATAAAATTAAAAAAAAACCCATCAGATCTCATGAGACTTATTCACTACCATGAGAATGGAATGAGGGAAATCGGCCCCATGATTCAATTATCTCCTACAGAGTCCTTCCCATAACACATGGGAATTATGGGAGTGCCATTCAAGATGAGATTTGGGTAGGGACACAGAGCCAAACCATATCATGGTCCCTGTTTTAGATAACTTTATAAAAAAGTTATATCCAGTAATCTCCAGGGACTTCTCTCTCCAACCTTTACTCATCCATTCAAGAAATGCCCTATCTCTGAATCCCTCTTTTGCTCTGTGCTTCTAGAGATACTACTGCATCACTTCCACGTGCTCTGCACTGTGGCAAGTTTAGAAAGAGGTGCAGTAATGAAAATGACAAGAACTACAGGGCCATACACTCTTGTGTTTCAATTCTCAATCTGCCACTTTGATTAGATTGGGCTAATTACTTCTTCCAGTCAAGCATTCTTTTTCTCAACTGATGTGGTGAGGTGGAAAGGTGATAATGTATATCAAACTGTTTCATAAATATACTAAAAAAAAATTGTAGATCCTTCTTTAGAGGGGCAACACTAGTTATCACTAACAACCAGAAAAGTGAAACCTCTGTTACACTAAGCATTGTATAAGGATGTAAATAGAGTATTAACAGAGGAGGAAATGAACAACTTCTTTAGGCCAGCTCCCTAGAGGTGGCAATTACCAAGAACAATTAAGCAGAGCTTTCATCTTGCTGGCCAGCGAGTTCAGACCCACAGCTGCTCACTGTCTCTGACATGGATTCTGCTGAGAGGCTTTGGAGAGAAGAGGATTACCTGGCAGATTCCCCACTGGGGACTGGAATACCGAAAACTGCAGCTTTTGCAAATAGTGCTATTAAAACCTTAAGCCACAACTCTCTCTGGTCCTTGCTGAGTGCAGGCAGTAGGCTTTCTTTCCTTCTTATGAATCATGAGACACTGCATGCTTTGGATCTTTTTAGCATCCTTGGTGAACTCAGGTACTTTAACATCCCAGTTCTGGGATAACCAGCCCATGGAGCTCAATTCCTAAATATAGAAGCCAGAAACTGTGTACCTACTACGTGTCTGGCATGACATACCTCAGATAACTTCTGGAATTGTGTAACCTTTTAGCATTATATTGCAAAGTTTACATATTTTTCGGGCTCCCCATATGAGAGACTTTATGACAACATAGCCTACCACTAAAAAGTACACAAGTTCAAATATTTTCTTTCCTCATCCTCTGTAGCAACACATAGGCGCATGAGCTAGGCTTGGTCAATTGGCTATTTCTTATTGCCACTTTGAAGTGGAGCCAGTAGTATAAGGAAACATGAGTAGCATTCAGTAATAGCAGCGAAGATGCGTCAGCATCCATGGTGGCTGTGGCATCTGGGCTGGTGGTAGCTCCCAGTACTGACAACCTTCTTCCCATGGTGGTGTGAACATCATTGCAGTACCCTGACAATTGGGTAAGTTTCCTTAATTACTGACAATTCTTCACTTGATAAACTGTCTATGATGCTTCCAATAAATTACCTTTCTCCCTATGTTAAGCAGGTTTCTATTATTATTGGCAACTAAGATTTATGTAAATATTATAAGATTGATATTAGAAACCCTAAATTAAAAGAAATAAAAATTACATTCAGAGACATTTAAAAAATGTTTCTATAGACACAGCCTGACAACTAAAATATGTAGGTGCTTTCTCTTCTTCCAATTATATTGCATATTTTCACTAAAAATACCTCATTGATTCATAGAATTACAGAGCAGAAAGAACCATAAGAACCATCTTGTCCAAACAGTCCATTTTAAGGTAAGCATGTGCTGAACTAGGCAGGTTGAGTATAGCAAATGCATGGCGAAGCAAACTCTAAAAAATATCAACCTCTTTTTCCCTAACTATGTACTCTTTCAAATGCAAAATTGTTTCTTGAATATGAGGGTGAGGAAACACATCTTAGATAGAGGTGAAGGGTGACGTTGAGCTTGATAGATTGAAAGGTTGACACGGTACTTTTTTCTGACTCTATGAAACTCAGTTCTGCTTCAGGCATAATGAGAGATGAACAGGTAAAGAGGTAAAGTAAAGGCAATCTGGAAAGTTTAGACTTTAACACCGTAAGCCTCAAAGAAAATTCTAAGCCCCCCAACTGACTGAAAAGTCAATCTCTTGGCCAAGGGGACCACAGAGTAACCTTGAAAACTGAGTTTTCAGCCATGACTAAATAGGAGTTCCTTATACCCTTCTCACTCACTACCACTAGGCTTTCTTCCCTACGGACTTACCAGAAACCAACTCTTTCAAAAGACTCCATCTGATATCAACTAACAGCCTGATGCTTCCCCTATTTTATGGTTGATAATAGGCCAGGGACTACCAAGTACTCCTGGCCAGTCTTTGGAGAATGCACAGTAAGGGTTTTCCTGTCCTCTGCTTCACCTTTTGATGTCAGAAGGCCAAAACCTTTATCCTCAGATCACGCTGGTGCCACCACCAATTTTGTACACGAGTCCAGGGAGAGGGCTGTATTTGTCAGGGTTCTCTAGAGGAACAGGACTAATAGGATAGATGTGTATATGAAAGGGAGTTTATTACAGGGAATTGACTCACACCATCACAAGATGCAGTCCCACAATAGACCTTCTGCAAGCTTAGGAGCACGGAGGCCAGAGTCCCCAAACCTCAAAAGTAGGGATGCTGACAGTGCCGTCTTCCATCTGTGGCTGAAGGCCCAAGAGCCCCTGGCAAGCCACTGGTATAAGTCCAAGAGTCCAAAGGCTGAAGAATTTGGAGTCCTTTGTTTGAAGGCGGGAAGCATCCAGCACAAGAGAAAGACGGAGGCCAGAAGACTTAGTCAGTCTACTTCTACCTTCCTCTGCCTCCTTTTCTTCTGGCCGTGCTGGCAGCTGATTAGATGGTGCTCATCCAGATTGAGGGTGGGTCTGCCTCTCTTACACCTGACTCAAATGTTAATCTTTTCTGGTAACACCCTTACAGACACACACAGGAATAATACTTTGCATCCTTCAATCCAATCAAGTTGACACTCAATATTGACTATCACAGGGGGATAAGGCTTGCCGGAATGGCCACTATGCAGGCTGAAATCCTTTATGAAAAATAAAGCTCTCTGCCAGGTGCGGTCGGTGGCTCACACCTGTAATCCCTGCGCTCTGGGAGGCTGAGGCAGGAGGATCACAAGGTCAGGAATTCAAGATCAACCTGACCAACATGGTGAAACCCCGTCTCTGCTAAAAATACAAAAATTAACTGGTGGGGGCGGGGGGTAGGGTGCACCTGTAAACCCAGCTACTCAGGAGGCTGAGGCAGGAAAATCACTTGAACCCAGGAGGTGGAGGTTGCAGTGAGCCGAGATCGTGCCACTGCACTCCAGTCTGGGTGATAGAGTGAGACTTTGTCTCAAAAAAAGAAAAAAAAGGAAAGAACAGAAAAGAGCTCTTTTTTCCAAATTTATGAACCTCATCATTCTTCAGTTGACAGTGCGTACGTAGGTAGTGGTGATTCATGAAGGAATAGGAGAATGATCCCTTAATAATGCTATTTCACTTTACATTTACGTAGTGCTTTCTAGTTTATTAATGGTAGTATTGGGAAGAAAAACAAACTGCTTTAATGCCTATGTTTCCCTTTTCTTACTCTCCAGTACTGGCTTCAGGGCCTCTCTCTGGTTCCATCACTATGCTACTGTAAATAAAAAATAACATTTCTAAGTTCTCCCCCCAACAGTCATCTGAATACACCCCTCCTTTCAACCAACAGCATTCCAAAGTTAACCATGTGAACCCAAAAGTATCTGAAACTCAATCAATTTATAAGGTTTATCTTGCCAAGGTTAAGGATGCACCAGAGACACAGTCTCAGGAGGTCCTGATGCCAAAGGTGGTTGGGGTGCAGCTTGATTTTATACATTTTAGGGAGACATGAGACATCAATCAATACATGAACGACATACCTTGGTTTGGTTCGAGAAGGTAGGACAAGTTCAAGTTAGGGAGAGGGCTTCCAAGCCATAGGTAGATAAGAGACAAACTTGCATTTTTTATTTTTGAGTCTCTGGTTAGCCTTTAACTAAATACACAATTTACATTCGAGTGAAAGGTAAAGGAATAGTCATTTATGCCTTAGTCTGGTTTAATGTAACAGTAGGGCAAAGGAAGCAATCAGATATGTGTTTGTCTCAGGTGGGAAGAGGGATGACTTTGAGGTCTGTCCTTTGTCCATAAGGAATTTCCTTGCGGGCAAATTTTGAGGGAGGTATGTGGCTTTAAAAAAAGTCTTTGTAGCTCTTTTATTTAGGAATAAAATGAAAGGCAGGTTTGCCTGTTTCAGTTCCCAGATTGACTTTACCCTTTGGCTTAGTGATTTGGGGGTCCCAAGATGTATTTTCCTTTCACAGCCTGAAAACTATTTCAGGCTGTTACAGGTAGTTAGATAGGGATGGGCGGGGCAGGAGAGGGCTCTTCCCCACCTGCTAGAAATGTCAGGTGATGGTTTGACAATTACCAGACTGCCTCTCTAAAAATGAAAATTTGGCAGCCCTCCCAGGGCCAGGCGGAGACCATTTCCTGATGATCCACAGCTATTAACATTAAAGTGTTAATTGAAAGCAGATGCCAGGGAGAAAAAACTTCCTGGGCATGCGCACTAAGACACAAAACGGTGAAATATGACCTTCCGGGTACAGTCCGCTGGAAAAAGGGAAGAAAGCCTCGGATGGGCGTGAGTGCAACTTTCTAAATGCAATGCGCAGCGCTCATTTCCCAAGGGTAAGAAGGGCACTGGGCATTCAGGAAACCCACCCTAGGGGTAGAATCACGGGAAAGATGCAAACCTATTAAGCTCTAGGATCAAGGTTAAACATTCTCTGTCCTTCAGGAGCCCTCTTGAATCTCTTCCAAGTGAGCTTTCCTTTCTTTCCTGTTCTAAAGTCTTTTTTTTTTTTTTTTTTTTGGCTCTTGTTGTCCAGGCTAGAGTGCAATGGTGCAATCTTGGCTCACCGCAACCTCTGCCTTCCGTGTTCAAGCAGTTTTCCTGCCTCAGCCTCCTGAGTAGCTGGTATCACAAGTATGCGCCACCACGCCGGGCTAATTTTGTATTTTCAGTAGAGATGTGGTTTCTCCATGTTGGTCAGGCTGGTCTCAAACTCCAGACCTCAGGTGATCCATCCGCCTCGGCCTCCCAAAGTGCAGGAATTACAGGCGTGAGCCACGGTGCCCGGCCTTAAAGCCTTTTTAAATAAACTTCTACTCTTGCTCTGAAACTTCCCTCAGTATCACTTTCTGCTTTATGCCCCTCAGTCAAAGTCTCTCTTCTGAGGAGGCAAGAAGTTGCTGTGTACCCATGCAGATTCACCGCTGGTAACTCGGGGTAACTCAGATACCTACCACCAGTAACAAGGCCATGATGGGAAAGGGGAGTCGGACATGCCTCGTTATACTCTCCTGTTTTTTGTAATTCAGGCACAGATGACCAGTATTAACATTAAAATAGATGTAAAGACTGATAAAGTAGACTCCTTGAAGCAATAAGACACCAAATTCTAGCCTGACTCTAGTGTAGCAACACATGGCAGATAGCAGGCCCTGACAGAAATTGAAGTATTTTACCCCAAATTATATTTTTTCTGACATATATTGAAATGGCCTGGCAAAGCTGTCTCTTGTGAGAAAAATCTGCATTCTACAGAGAATCCCCATTAGCTCATTGGTTTCTTTTCCCTGATCCAGGAGAGAATCAACTCTGATAAGAAACATTGACAATCTATTTTTTCTGAAGCTAGCTGCCTGGAGGCTTCCTCTGCATAATAGGAATCTTGGTTTCTGCAACCCCTTATCTTAACCCAAACATTCCCCTCTATTAGTTCTCTGTCTTTGGACAATACCTCACCTCTTTCAACCAATTGCCAATCAAAAAGTCTTTGAATCTCTCTGTGACCTGGAAACACCCCTCACATCGAGTTGTCCTTCCTTTCCAAACTCAACCAATGTACATTTTACACGTATTGATTGATGTCTTTTTTTTTTTTTTTTTTTTTTTGAGACGGAGTCTTGCTCTGTCACCCAGGCTGGAGTGCAGTGGCACGATCTCGGCTCACTGCAAGCTCCCACTCCCGGGTTCACGCCATTCTCCTGCCTCAGCCTCCCGAGTATCTGGGACTACAGGTGCCCGACACCACGCCTGGCTAATTTTTTGTATTTTTAGTAGAGATGGGGTTTCGCTGTGTTAGCCTGGATGGTCTTGGTCTCCTGACCTCGCAATCCACCCGCCTCAGCCTCCCGAGGTGCTGGGATCACAGGCATGAGCCACTGTGCCCAGCCTGATTGATATCTTATGTCCCCCTAAAAATTTATAAAACCAAGCTGTAGTCTAACCACCTTGGGTACATGTTCTCAGAATCTCTTAAAGGCTGGTCACTCATATTTGGCTCATAAGAAATCTTTTTTTTTTTTTTTTTTTTGAGACTGAGTCTTGTTCTGTTGCCCAGGCTGGAGTGCAAGTAGGGTGATCTCAGCTCATTTCAACCTCTGCCTCCCAGGTTCAGGCGATTCTCCTGCCTCAGCCTCCAGAGTAGCTGGGACTACAGATCTGTGCCACCACGCCCAGCTAATTTTTGTATTTTTGGTAGAGACAGGGTTTCACTATGTTGGCCAGGATGGTCTCAATCTCTTGACCTCGTGATCCTTCTGCCTTGGCCTTCCAAAGTGCTGAGATTACAGGCATCAGCCACCGTGTCCGGTCTAAATCTCTTCAAATACTTTACAGAGTTTGACTCTTTTCATAGATACCATATACCTGAAAGAACTTATGACAAGACATTACTCTTCCAATTTCTTTTGGGCAGTGTCAACTGTGAACTCCTTAAGGCTTTCCTTCCTCTGGTCCCTTTGTCCCAGGCCCCACTGACAATCTCCCGGCTACTATGTTGCAGCCACAAGATAAGCATGTTTTAACTCTTTGTTAAATAAATGAATAAATTAAAGGATGAGGTGAATATTAGGAGATAGATGAGACTGAGGGAGTACGTGCAGCAAGTATATTTTCATCAGCATAAATCAGATGTTCAATAAAAGTAAATCTTATTTTCTCTTGCTGCTCTCTTCTAATTAGAGTTCTCTCCTCAGATAATGTCAAGAATTTAAAGTTGTCAATTAAAAGATAATGCCATCTCTTGACTTAAAAGAGTCTCTTTTGTTTATATGCTTAGTTTTAAGGGTTTTTTCCTCCCATTCCCTCCCCATTTTCTTCCATTTGAGTAGATGATTCTTACAAGGAGAAAATCCAGAAACTATCAATTGGCTACCTTGATCTGATCCTCTTCATGAAGAAGCTTGAACTTCTCCCTGCTTCACAGATGGGTTATGAGATAGTCCTGAGAAGCTGCATTCTAAGAAGCATTATGACCTGTCTTCTTAGAAACAACACGACATCACTTTTAACACATTCTTTTGGTCACAAGGAGAGGGAATTACACACCACCTGGTTTTGGATGCATGCTTGAGGTAAGGCTTAACATTAAGGCCCAAACTTATGTGGAACTGTAGCATAATAAATATATTTGGTCTTTGTTGCTGGTTCCTCGTACAGAGTTTTGAAAACTCTACGAATTTCCTGAATGATAGGAATGTCCGTTGTTATTCATGTGGTGGCGTACTTAATGACACTTTATTTTATGCTAATGAATTGCCTTAAGGTGGGGTCCCTAGATAGCATCAGGATAGGGGTGGTCACCAGAAACAGGAAGAAATCAAAGCATTGGAACATTAAGTTCCACTCATATACTTTAGAGAAGAATGTAGGGGGAGGAGTTGAAGATTAAGCTCTATAAAAAAAAAATGTGTAAACAATGAGCATTGATGAGCTTCCAGGTTGGTGAACACATTCATGTAAACGGGAGGGAGGAGAGTCACTCATACCCTAACTCAACAAAGAGGCTCCTGGACTCAGGACACCTCCAGACCTTGCCCTATGTATCTCTTAATCTGGCTATTTATGGGTATTTTTTATTGTATTCTTTCTAATAAACTGGTAGACATGAGTAGTGTTTCCCTGAGTTCTATGAGCAATTGTAGTAAATTATCGAACCTGAGGGAGGGTTGTTGGAACCCCCAATTTATTGCCAGTTGGTCAGAAATAAGGAAGATGTGAACTTGTAATTGGAATCTGAAATTACAGGAGTCTTGTGAGACTGAGCCCTTAATTTGTGGGATCTAATGATAACTCTAGGTAGAGAGTATCGAAATTAAATTGAATTATAGGACACTCTGCTGGTATCAGAAAATTGGTCAGTGTTGGGAAAAAAGCAATGTACATCTGATGTCAGAAGTAGAGAGTGTAGAAAAAAAATAACCTTTGTTTTCTGAGCTGTCTTGGTATCTGGTGAACTTCAGGAGTCCTTGATTAGACTAATTACAAATTTCTCTCACTACTCTGCTTCCACACATAAGGTCTTCAAACCAAATAACCCTCCTTATCAAGAAGACTAGGCAGTTTCTACCGAGCAATGTGTTTCAGTTCCCCACTAGCCTGCAGAATTATTTAAACAAGCCAATCACATCCTCCTGAAGGAACTGAGATCACATCATCTTCTTGATACTACAAAGACTGCCCTTCAAAGCCCCCCAGTTTTCACTCTGTTCCCAAGGGCAACCCCCATGTGGCAGCACATGGCATGTGGTATCCTCCTTCCCCAGGCTGTGAGTTCACATGTCTAATAAATTGCTATTGATTTCATGTGTCTAGTGTTATGTGTTGTATGTTCAGCCATCTCCATAACCGGTAGGTAGAAATCCCAGACTAACCCATAGGGGCTGATTGAGACAGCATTGCAAAATCACACTGCACAGAGCATGTTAGATATAGGAGGAAATATATTGTTGCAGTTATCTTCGGAAAATAAAATCCCCATTGATATTATTTTCTCTTCATAATGGGATAGGAGAACCTCTCTAATATACCCTCAATGAATTTAGAGAACATCATGAAAATTGTTACTTAGCATTAATTCTTATCACTATCTTTATCACCAAACTGCTTTGGATGGATAATCTCTATTCCAAAGCACCATTTTTGGCACTGTAGTACCCATCTTGAAAGATGAAGTGTGTGAGATATTTATTTATAATTTATATTTTTTATTTTTTATTTTGAGACAGGGTCTCACTCTGTTGCCCAGGCTAGAGTGCAGTGGCACGATCTCGACTCACTGCAACCTCTGCCTACTGTACAAGCAATTCTCTTTCTCAGCCTCCCGAGTAGCTGGGATTACAGGCACCCACCACCACACCTGGTTAATTTTTGTATTTTTAGTAGGGACGGGGTTTCACCATCTAGGCCGGGATGGTCTTGAACTCCTGACCTTGTGATCTACCCACCTCAGCCTCCCAAAGTGCTGGAATTACAGGTTTGAGCCACCACACCTGACCTGTTTATTCTTTATTCTAGGTGTGCTACTCTACTCACCAGACATCTGAAACTACACCCAGATCATCTGAAAGTTAACATGTTCCAGGTGATGTCCCTATTAAACCAAGGATTGGTTTTCAGTGGTAAGTTTTCACTTAGGCTTAGTCTATTTTAATTACAGGTTTTAAAGTCTTCTCTTCTGTGGCATCTTGACTGTTTCAGGTTTTTTTTTTTTTAATTTTTATTTTTTAATGATGGAGTCTCTCTCTGTCACTCAGACTGGAGTGTACTGGCACAATCATGGCTCACTGTAGCCTCAAACTCCTGGGATCAAGTCATCTTCCCACCTCAGCCTTCTGAGCATCTAGAACTACAGGTGTATGCCACCATACCTTGCTAATTAATTTTTTTTTTTTTTTTTTAAGATACGGGGCCTTGCTATGTTACCCAGGCTGGTCTTAAACTCCTGTACTCAAGTAATCCTCATGCCTCAGCCTCCCAAAGTGGTGGAATTATAGGATGAACCACTGCACCCAGCCTATTTGGAGGTGTTAATAAGTGTTCTGTGCTGTTAAATGGGGCATGTTACTATGGATCAGTTTGGAAGGGAATCATCAGAGACTTAGAGCAAGCATGGGTGTCACTTGTACTGAAAAACTCATGGATATCTCGCAGGCTACAATGAAGGCAACTGCATGCTAAAAAGCTAGTATGGCAACGTGTGTGGCTAAAATTATAACCATTGATTAACAACCATGCAACCTTCTGACCATGGCGATGTTAATGGAAAAACAAAACACAATTAGATATTTTAAAGGGATTTATTCTGAGCCAATATGAGTCACCACAGCCAGAAAAAACGAAGTCTCCAAGAGTCCTAAGAAAACGCACCTGAGGTGGTTAGATTACAGTTTGGTTTTATACCTTTCAGGGAAGCAGGAGTAACAGGCAAAGACATAAATCAATACCTGGAAAATATATGCCCATTTGCTCCAGAAAGCTGGGATATCTTGAAGCAAGGGCTTATAGGTTATTGCTTTTAATGGCAAAAACCACAATTACTTTTGTACTAACCAGGTATATGTGTGTTATATGTATTATATATGTGTGTATATACTATGTATATATGTATACATGTGTATGTATATATGTGTATATGTGCATGTGTGTATATATGTATGTGTATATATGTATGTGTATATGTGTGTATATGCATGCATGTGTATATATGTGTGTATATATGTGTGTGTATGTGTGTGTATGTATGTGTGTATATATATGTGTATGTATATGTGTGTGTATATATGTATGTATGTGTGTATATATATTTGTGCAGTCCCCTTAAACCCCAAGATCTACTCTCATGTCCTAGATATGCAAGATCATGCCCATTCATATTTCAGTCTCCTACCTCTTTCCAGACTAATTGATTCTCATTTCAATTACTTTGGATATAATTGTTTCTTTATTTTTTTTCACCCATTTTGAAGGCATATACTCTATATCTTATATCTTATTTCTTATTTCTTATAGGTTTTCTTTTCTGCTTTTCAATAGACTTCTCTTTTCTCAGAACTACCTGCCTCATGAAAATCAATTCCATTGACTTTCAAAGCTGTTTCTTACAAGGCCTTTGAGAGTCCACATTAGAAATCAAAAACTTAATATATTTCTCGTTGCATTAGTGAATTATTCATTTAATTCTTCTTGAGTTTTATCACTGTATCTAGTACATAAATGCTCAATACATATTGCTTATTGTAAGTTTATATTTTTATAACTGATAAAGCATCAAACAAGTATTTAAGAATAGAGGCGAAGTATAAACTCAGGCTTATTGGTTGTAAATCCAGCAATCTAAACAAACAACCAAAAAACTCTTTAAAAAGGATCAATTTGTCAAAAGTATGCTACATGAGCTAGAGGAAATAGAGAGTGGAAGAAAACTCTTCATATGTTTCCTAATGAGATGTTTTGTAAGCGTGGAATGAATAAATAAATGTTTCTTAATGTAGAAAAAATACTAAGGATAATGTTCAATGAGTAGACATAGACAAGGTAATAGTATAAACATTTTAGATTCACATGACAGAAAGCAAGTCTCAATTACAGATGATCACAGATAAATAATAGATGCTGGATTTTAAAGTTTTGGTTTAAAAAAATGTGGCATAAAGATAAATATCAGACTGGGAAATACTACAAGAAAAACTATATAATGGACTTATTAATTAAATGTCTTTACATAATTTTAATATAATTGTATAAATCATTATTGATTTAGCCCAGGATGTTTGATATTGGTCTTGTTGGAAACTGAAAATAAGTCTCCTTCTGGACCATTTTTTTCAGAAGTCTTTGGCTGGACCTGATACCATAGCTATTTCATTTCCAAAAAAAAAAAAAATAGGAGAGAATACAGTAGTTGTTAGAGAAAAATCACTGTTCTGTAATTGCCCCCAAAATATTTCCAACTGAGAAACACACATATTCACACACGTGTATTTATACACACACATAAAAGTCGGTGGTTCACACCTATAATCCCAGCACTTTGGGAGGCCGAGGTGGGCGGATCACGAGGTCAGGAGATGGAGACCATCCTGGCTAACATGGCGAAACCCCGTCTCTACTAAAAGTACAAAAAAGTATTAGCCGAGTATGGTGGCCTACGCCTGTAGTCCCAGCTACTGGGGAGGTTGAGGCAATATAATCGCTTGAACCAGGAAGCGGAGGTTGCAGTGAGTGAGATTGTGCCACTGCACTCCAGCCTGGGCAACAGACCGAGATGCCATCTCAAAAAAAAAAAAAAAAAAAAAAAAAAAAAGGCTTTATTACAGGCACATCAGCTCTTACTCTCATAAACATGTAATAAATGAAGAACTGGAGAGAGGAACTATAAAAAGAGAAGCAAAGGGGAAAAAGATGAGAGGGCAGAGGAAAAGAGGAAAAGGAGTGGAAAAAAAGTAAAGAGAGATAGAAAAGGATTGAGATTAAATGATGATTTAGGAAAATCTCCTCAAAAAACAAAATCTCAATTTTGGGTATCAGAACTTCCTAAATTACACAATTCATCTATTTACATGAATGTCTCCTCTTCCGTACTAGAATACAAGCTCCTTGGAACCAAGCAGTAGCTTTGCTAGGTTGACTTTTATAACTTCCTTAATGTGTTGTATAGAATGTGTACTCAATACATTTAATAAGATTGAATAAATAATTGATTATTAATGAATACATTAAAAAAGCAACAGATTAGACACCCGAAATAATGAACTTTCCTAACAGAAATTATTATATATCAGGGATAGTCACACGAGTAAGACCGAGGCTTCTTAGGTGTGTCCTGAACACCTTCTGCAAAATTCTCCAGCTCAAAAAATTACTCCACTGCCTATCAAAAACCCTGTAGTTTTCTATTAGAATTTATTGCCTTGGCCTCAAGGGCTTTTTTGCCTTTAAGCGTTGTCTGTTAAATTACAGATATCTCTGGGATATATAAAATGTGAAGCTGTTATCAGATGAACCTCAGGAGGGATTAGTTGATGGCTGGTTTGGGTGAAGGTATGTGCCCAGGAAGAAAAGGGAGAAAAGGAAAAGACCTAGATTAACGGAAAGCTTAATATGTCATGTGTTTTACATATGCTGTCTCCTTTATCCTAAAACAAATCCACACTGTGCCATAGCTATTATTATGTCAGTTTGTACCGGGAGGAGTCAAGGTTATAGAGGGTAAATCGCTAGCCTGAGGTAATTCAGCCAAAAAGGAGTAGAGCTGGAATTTGAACAGAGATTAGACAGATTCCTTCTTTTCTTCAGGTAGTGCCTACTGACAAAGGCCAGGAGAAAATTTTAGGTCCTGCAAAGCAATAATTTATATTCAGTGTGGGAAATACTATAGTATTCTCTGGCTTCTTTTTCTGAAAGGCAACTAACCATTTGTATTAGTTCACTAAAACTGCCATAACAAAGTACCCCAAACGGTTACCATCTCACGGTTCGAAAGGCTAGATTTCCAAAATCTAGGTGTGTCAAAGCCATGTTCCCTCTGAAGCCTCTAGGGAAGGATTTTTTCCTGCCTCTTCCAGCTTCCAGTGCCCCAGGAGTTCCTTGATTTGTGGCAGCATGACTTCAGTCTCTTCACGTCTTCTCTCTGTCTGTGTCCGTTTGGTTCTTCACATGGTGTTTCTTTCCCTGTATGTCTGTTTTCTCTCCTTATAGGGACACCAGCCACATTAGATTAGGATCAACCCTAATTACATATGACCTAATTTTATCCAGATAACATCAGCAAAGAACCTGTGTCCAAATAAGGTCACATTCACAGGTACGGAGCTTAGGATTTCAACGCAGCTTCTTAGGGGACGCAGTTCAACCCATACATAATTTATATCACTTGATTTATTCTGGAAATATAATATATAAAAACATACTTTCACCAAATGGATCATTTCAAAGAAAGGAAGAGAAAGGATGAAATCAAATAGAAAGAAGGGTTGGCGTTTGTTTCTCTTAAAAATGTTATTAGATGTTTTTGTTGGAAGCACGGGCCTCATGCATTTGCATTCACTCTAAACAAAAAGTTCCAGAGGGATTAGTGACTCTGAAAAGCTTGGCTCTGTGTACTATATGAATAAAATGTTGAGCAAGTGCTTCTTGGCTGTATTTCCAAGCAAAGCAACTCAATATATTATCATTTTGGAGATGAGACTGCTTCAAATGAGATTACCTCTGCATTGAATCTCGGTTGCTCTTGGAGGTGATTTATGCTTTCAAATGACCAACATATTTGAAAGACCCTCTAGAGTGATTGACTTTCTATTGCACACGTGCTGTTTTCTTATTTGTAGTAAGCAAAGACTTTAATGATCACAGCTGGAGCAAAAGCACTTTCAGTCTTAGGAGGACCTCAGACTCTTTGAAATTTATTTTTCGGAGTTTAGTTCATTTTTTGTTTGTTCCTGCATTTGTGGCGTAGAGGTTTCAAAGGCTCTGCCAATCCTGGCTTTATTCTTTTAGGGGCAAATAATTTACACTTGATATCTTTGGGGTATAAATTTGAGGGAATAAGCAATACAGGAGCTATTTGCCCAGTGTTCCTTTTCATAAGT